TTCGTCACCCGTAATTAATTACGTAATTACGTTTTTAAAGAGTGAAAGTGGTAATTAATTACGTTAATTACGAATTATGTATTTACGGTAATTAGCTAATTACCATATCATGTATAGTCAAGCCCTTGTTGCCAAACAAAAGCATAATATTAATAGAGTAAATACAAGTCAAGTAAACATTCATTATAAATATCATGACTCTTACCTGCCCAAAAAATTCTACTAGAAAATCATGTGTTTCATTGGGAATAATATTATCCAAATATTCTAGTGATAAAAGGTATTCTTTGTACACATCTTTAGGCAATGTTCTTATAAATGAACCTTTTGGTGTCAGATTCATTATATTAGCAATCGCCAAAGGATCCTTATTGTCCTTCTTGTAGTATTCAAAATTTTCAATAATAACCTTGAAATTCTTGTTGATTGATATTTCTTTACAAATGATTCCCTCAATTTTAACCTAAAAAAAAATATTTTATAATTGCCAGAATAAGAAAACTGTCCATAAATGAAAAAATGTATTTTTAATAACCAACTTCAATATCATCTGATTCTTCACTAGAATCAATCTCTTCAGTAGAATTAATTCCTTCAGTATTTTCATTAGTCTTTTGTTTTTTGGCTATATCAGTTGCTAATTCCACATGCTTTCATTTCTCAATATCAGCTATAAGGTTTAAGCAACTAGCTTCATTCAATGTTCTAGAGTATGCCTGATTTTGCATTATATTCTCAATGAGTCCCGCTTCCTAATCAGTGTTAGAATACAGAAAAAAAGTTTTTTAATCAGATTAACCTATCTGAATGTTGGCCACAGTATTTATTCATTGACTCAATTGGGTTCCAAATTTTGTCAATGGTAAAAAACAATGGTAATTTAATCTTATTTGAAGATGTAATTTACTTACAGATGACAATGTGGAAGTTCCATTATTTTCCTGTAGTTTAGAGATTGGGATTAATATGAAAAGCAATTAATCAATCTAATCAAAGAGAATAAGTCTAATTAAATTATTATTACTTTATCATTTTGATTGTCAAGTATTGGTCGTTTCTTTTTCCAAAAGAATAAATAATAAATCAGAAACTAGAGTAACAACGAGTGGCAGGTAATAACCACCACCACCATCCTTAAAACACTTACCCTTTTTCTTCACCAAGAGCAGTTTGTCTGCTTCTTAAGTTTTACAACACTTTGGTGGCATTTGAAAAAAATATATGAAAAAGAAGTTTGTGATTTGATCAACACGTACACATTAATTATTTGTCATATTGGTTTTTTTTCTGGTAGGACAGATGCGAATTGATTGATTTTTTTTTTTGGAAAAACAATTTATTTTTTGACAGAGTCCAAGGTGACAAAATGTGAGTGTTGTTGTTTGGTTTGGTTTGTGTCTCCTAAAGAAAATGTGTTAATAACTAACCAGAGGTACTTTTTTTTACTTGTATTGATCTGTATGAGGTGTGTATTTTATTTTAGCTTATAAATATTTTAATTGGAATCAAAATGCAGAGCAGATCTTGCTGGGTAATTACAAGATTTTCATTGATAATATTTTGCTTTTAGTAATCGTTAATAATATTAATATTACTATATAATTACAAGAAGATGTCAAGGTGGCATGACTGACTGTTGAAAAAGAAACATTTTGAATATGCAATGTTTGATTATCAGAAATTGGCAGGTGTTGAAGCACGCACGCTAACTTGAACACTTACAGTCATTCTCTCATCTTCCTTGTGTACATAAGGCTAACCTGACTTGATCCCCTGATGATACAATGGTGCTACCAAATTCCAGGGGGGAGGTAGCAATGCCCTGGAATTCACTGAGACTGCATCAATCGTCAATGATGCTTTTCACTAATCTTCCCAGACCAGAGAAGGCCACTGACATGCTGGCTGAAAAGTTGCTTGCAATGATCCTACTCTAGGGTAAGGATGGCTCTGTGTCCAAGTTGCAACTCTGCTGATGAATTGTAGTTCCATGTAAATATCTAGATCGATCTAAGCAAAGAGAATCTGCAGCTTGTTTCAAGTACCAGGAGGTTACCATTCAGAGCAGGATTTGTGGCCCTGAAATTGCATTTGGAGTCTGATGTTAAGAGGAAAGTTGTAAAATAGTGTTTGTTTTGTATAATCACTTTCATAAATTCTCTGTTTCTCTGATACTAACCAATTTAATAATTATGGGTAGGGGACTGAATGGGGTTTTTGCCCAATCAGTCCCCTGTTGTATAGATTAAAATTATTGCATGATTATATACATCTTTGTCAGCAATATGGCCAACAACAAAAAGTCATAAAATGGATCAGATTTTGGTATGTTATGTTGCAAGTTAATCATATTCCCATAAATTTTCTGCATTTCTTTAATTTTTATTTGACCAACTGAACTTGTTATTTAAATCAACTTTATCCTAGTGAGAGAGGGTGATAACACAAAGTAAGCACCAGCCATCAGTGATTAATGCCCATATGGTAACAGCCAAGCCTGGTCTGAGGAAAAGATAAGGGAATGTATTGTCCAAAACCTTCCAATTTGTTCAAGTCACTTTCACCTGTGGAAAAAATTCCATGGTGCTGGATTGATGCTTTGCATGGCGCTTGCATGTTTGTGATAGGAAATTTCAATTAAATCTGACACCTGCAATCAACATCAGATTTATTATTCATAAGGAACCATAATTGATAATCATGAAGAATAATTTATTATTGTGAATCCCAGAGATCTGAGTAGACATGCATTATTAAAAGTTTCATTTATGCATGGCCTTGGTATCATTACTACCTGGGTGATGCAATTGTTTGTTATGTCAATGATGATATCAAATGTATTGAATAATAATCATGACCATCATGAATATTTGTTGGATGGAGGCATTCACATACAAGGAAATGATTAAATAGCTAAGTCATGTTTGTTTTGTTAAAGATGTATAATTAATTATACAATAAAAAAAAAATTTGCAAGGCTGCACCACTGTGTCAATCAAGCTATCAAGCTGTTATGGTTTCTAATTTATGATCCCATCTTTCTTTGCTTAAATATAATCTATTGGTTCTCTTTTATTAGTCGAATGTTATAATGGGGTATCAGCAAATATCAGAACCTGATTATTCTTTAAAAAAATAATCAAGGTATTACTGATAAGTTAATAGTATTTTTATCATATAGTCTAAAAGCCTATTGGTAAATGTTGAAAGTGCTGATATTTATCAGATATTCTTCTAAAATTAATCCTATTTTTCAGTTAATTATTGGCTTAGTTTAATGAACCAATAGCTCTTTTGTATGTAATTAAATTATTGGTTAAATATTTCTAAAGCTCTTTGTGCTAAAATAATATCATAATCTTGAGTAGCAGTTAGGTTTTTCTATTCAAATAATGTTTATTTGAATAAAACAAATAATTCAAGTAATAATAATTTGAATAAAAGCAAATAAAATGAATAAATGTACGGTTAGAACTTGTTAAGACAATGCTTTGATAAACCAAATATACACAATAAACCAATGTTGTTTTATTATCTACCTATCAAATTACCTCAATAAGCCAATTTTATTAAGGTTTTTTAGATTGAAGTTTTTTTTGAAAATATTGACTTCAGTTTAATGTATTATGAATGGAAACCATGCAATAATACTAAATCAAAAAAACAATAATAAATAAACAAACAAATAGCTTTTATTGCGAAATAATTAATTTAGTTCCTTTATTAAATCGATAACACAAGTAGTGGTCAATTTAAACAGCATTGTTTTTAAAGAATTTATTCAAAACAATATTATTTAAATGTATAAGGTTTAATGATTTTTAATGTTGCAAAAAATTTTTTTCAATACATCAATTTCACTCCAAAATCAATCATATTTATATACTTTAAAGTTTCTTTATCTCTTTTTTTGATAAAAATAAAAATTTAATTATTTGTTTATCTGTTTTAGTAGATTCAAATAGATAAAATGTTGCATACACCACTACTACAGCAACAACCCATGTATCAATTTATGCAAAAACATACATAATAAAGTACAAAAAAAAAATTCAGCTTGTAGCCTAGGTTCTGTAGAATATGCAAGTAAAATTTCTTGTTTCCTGATTTTCTATATCATTTATTAATTAAAAGTAAAGTAAATTCAATTATTGTTTGAAAAAAAATTTAATGTTAAGAAATTGAAATTTGCATGTGTAATTCACAAGCATAGTGGAAATTTGAAATGTTACACTAATTTTTTATATTGTGCAACGTAGCTTTACAATACGCGGCAAACATTCTGGCAATAAAGGGTAAGTGATAAACTAGATTTGAATTGGACCTGAACTTGATCTCCAGTTTAGAGAGGTAACAACTATATACTGGTGAAGTTTCAGGAGCAATGGGTTCTATATAACATTTCGTGTAACAACAAACTTCCACTATGCTTAATTCACATACAATTGATTTTTTTTGTATACTGATTCTAAGAAAAAATGCTGTTTTAGTATAATCAACACAAAACAACAATTTTCTTCAATCATTTTTTTAGATTATTTATCAATTTAGTATGAACAATAAATTACAGGTCTAAAGATAATAATTTCCACAATTTTATCTTATCTATTTTTAGTAATGGTAAATAATTCTCTCTAAAAATAATTAGTGTATCTGTTTGTCTGTTTTAGTGTGATCAATAAATCTCAAGTCGCAAGATAATAATTTCAATGATCCATTTTTTAGAAATAAATAATAATCATTTACATATATTTATAATTATTATGTGGATCACAGCATCTATATATTTTTTTGATTTTTTTATTCTTATTTCTTTTGCTTTTTAAATATACACCAATCATTATTGCCACCCAATTAAATTCATTCAAAAATGAAAATGATATCTTTGTATTTCTTTTGTCAAGATTGTCAAGATTTTTTATAATAAACTGAACACTGGCTTTCCATTCAAATGTTAAATTTAAAAAATATTAAATTATAAAAAAGCCACAAAGTGAACATAAAATTATATATATAGGGATAAGTGCATATGAAAAATAATAAATATAATGGTTCTAATGAGTATGAAAAGGCAATCAATTTATTGGAAAAAGGTTGTAATTGTGATTGCGCTTCAAGAATTCCCAAAGGAGAATTTGCTGAATTAAGGGAATCCTTTCAAGCTCTCACTAAATCAGAACAAGACATATTCTTAATGGCCCAACTTAAAGTAATGAATGGTGGATCAACAAGCACCAGTAGACACCTTAAAAAGAGAACTAGATCTAACAAAAGAACTTTCTATCACTGGGATCACAATACATTACTCTGCCAAAAACTTATCTCAATATGCTAGGGATTGGTAGAACTTATTTTGAGAATCTTAGAAATCATCTGATAAATAATGGCCTTCTAGCAAGAGTTCATGGCAATATAAAGAAGATACTCAATGGAAAATCAAAATGGTGAATGATAAAAATGTTGCAGAAATAGTAAAGAATTTTCTGGAAAATTATGCAGAAGTCCATGGATTACCAAGTCCAGGAAGAAGTATCAATAGAATAACC